TAGAGAAAGAAAAGCTGGCATTGATTTTTTGTTTTGTTCCCCGTTTTGTTTTTCTGTTCTGTTCACGACCATCAAGCAAGAAATAGACATCAGGAAACATACTGACAACTAGTAAACTTCTAAATATCAGTGCCAGGAAGCAACATCAGGGAAAGGCCGCAGCTTCTGTGCCCTATTAAGAACATAAGAGACACCAATGGTGGATCAGGCCAAATACCCATCCCGTCCAACACTCTGTGTCACACAGTGGCCAGAAATACCAGTGCCATTAGGAGGTCCACCAGTGGGGCCAGGACATTAGAAGCCCTCCCACTGTTGACCCCCCCCTCCCCAAGCACCAAGAAGACAGCATCACTTGCCCTAGAGCCCCTATCTATACTTTGTGGCTAATAGCCACTGATGGACCTCTGCTCCATATGCTTATCTAATTCCCTTTTAAAGTCATCCATGCTTAGTCTATTTATTAGGGTTTATTGTTGACCCTCCAGAGTAACTGGTTGGCCACTGTGTGAGACTGGGAATACTAGACCAGATGGACTGTTGGTCTGATCCAGCAGGGCTTGTCTTATGTTTTAATGGCACCCTCAAGCACCACATTTGGGAACTGCTTACATGTACAGTTGAACATGCTTAAGAGCTGAGGACTGATTTGAATCTCTTACACCTACTGAAGATTGACCGAGGCACTGATGTTGCAGTTTTATACACTCGCAGCACAACTGCCACACTTCTTGCTGCCTTGGCCATTTTTTCTGTAATATCCTATGCATGTTTTTGAAAAGCTGTTAGTTTGGTGTGTAAAATATATTGGGTAGTTAAAGTTCAAAAGCTTATTTACTCATAAAACTTGAGACGATTTTCATTCCTCCCTCCCATCCTTCATTTCCTGTTTGTTTATTTTTGCTAGATATTTGCCTATAGTTCCCAGAAGGAAAACTGGCAAAATGTAGGGTGTGTTGTGGCATCCAGACAGCCTAGGGTGCATGCCATTTCCCAAAATGTATGCTGGCGCCCGCAGCTGCCAAGTTCTGAGAATGACTGGTAAGCCGTCTCAGAGTTGTTGGTATAAACACAGGAAAGTGACACAATTTCCAGAGTTTATTTTCAGGCTGTGGACATTTTTGCTTTAGCAGATATATGATCCACTAAATGGTACTTGCTGGCCACTCATCCCTCCCAAAACAAACCAACCAGAGCCCAAGAGCTGGATAAGTACCCATTGTGATCAACACAACTTCCAGCAACAGAATTAATTGCATATAACATTCTGGGGTCAGAAGGGGAAGGAAGTTCAGGTAATAGGTGCTCAGAAGTCATGGGCATAAGATGTCAATCTCAAAGGCAAAATGCACAATTTTCTAGCAGGAAAGCCTCTTTTTGATGTATCTGATCATTGTGTGCTGTTGGTCACTGTAGTTCAGCCAAGGACTACCTTTTCTTAGGGCAGTTCCACTAGTGGTGTTTTCATCCAGTGCAAGAAACCATTCACTGACATAAGAAGCTCTTTCTTGCATCAGGGAAGGCCCCTTTGTGTTGACAAAAAGCATAACAGCCAGCAAACAGGTTCAGGGGATCCAACCCAGTGAAAGAAGAGAAGTAAAATAAGACCTAAGAGAAATCTAGCAGCAGCTTAAAGACAAGCAACAAGTTTAAGTAGATTCAAGGCCATGAAATCTTAAGCTAAGATACATTTTTGTTAGTCTTTAAGGTGCCACAAGTCTCCTATTTAATTTTGCAGGGACAGACTGACACAGCCACCTCTCTGGAATCTCCATGAAATGTTACTTTAATTGGAACAAACGTACACATATAAACATGCCTTGAGACACTCCGTAAAGAGCAAGATGAGCTGGATCCAACAAATATCTGGAAGCAATGAATTCCAAAGACACTATGCCAATAAACAAGATGAACCTGGGCATGAGCCAACACATATGTCAATTTTGGATTAACTAAGGGATCTGTTCCATAGGAATGCAGAGTTTATGAACATCCCCTGACCCCAATGTGAAGCTGAAAACCGAGGCAAGGCATGAGTGCAAGGAGCCTCATCTGAAAGAAAGTATAACTTGTGTTAATTTACCCCTTACAGGGTACAGAAGTTAAGCTGTAGATTAATTTACAGAGCCAAAGGTGATCTTTGCCTGTTGAATGGCATATTCTGGTTGCATAACGGCACTTCTCATGGCCAGAAGTGGCAAGTGTTGTTGCTCTTCCTCCCTGCTACTGCAGACCGGCAAGCATCCCAGGGAAGAGGGTCCAGCCTAGCCTTCTGATGGGCAGATAGTTAAGCATGCAAACGAGCAGTGCCCCATCTTTAGTCATAAGTGGTCCAGTCCCAACAACAAGGCTTTTCTAGAAACTGTTTCTACAATGTATTAGACAATCCTGAGAGATCCATGAAATTGTTGATGATGAATCAGTTGAAATGAAATAGAGAGACACCACATGTATACATCACTGTTCAGAAGAAGACTTGTGTTGAAACGGCAGCACATTCCGGAGATCACCGTCTTCACTTGCATTTGATATGTGATGCAAATATTGTACACTCTTTTTTATGAAATCATTTTGATTAATATTTCAAATTTATTAGCACAAACTCCCGCACAGTTTTTTTTGTTACTACTTCGGTAGGCTCAAAGAAAGACCATTAAGTTTAGTTGGGCCGCAATAGAACTTCCCTATTCCCATGTTACATCAGTGACGGTTGGAATTTCTACCCATAACAATTCTGTGGGTAATTTTTTTAAATAAAATGGTGGAAGACTAGTGACTTGTGGCTTCCTTCCTGCCGCCATGACTCACTGTTGCAAAAATCTGTTGTCAAAATTAGCAATTTCCAAGGGACTACAAAGGGTGGGAAACAGGCTCAGACTTCTAAATAACTCTATTTACACAAACACATCAAAATTACATAGAGAACCCCCAGGACCATCATGGCAAACACTGAGAACTGTTGTCTCTGGCTACTTGACCAGTAGCTGCAGGAAGAACCTAAAAGCCAGACGTAAATGGATTGGAATGAACACATAAGCTGTGAAGACCAACATGGTAATAGTAGTGGCAGAAAAAACATGTATCACTATTTGTTCCCAGGGCTCCAGGTCAACACAGCAGCTGATCAGCAGGTACTGAAAATAAAACCAGTAACAAGAATCCTTTATACGCTTTGCTGCTTTCATCGCCATTAATCGTTGCTTCTGGAAGTTTGTCCTATAACATCAACAAAGTATGAAAGAAAGTTTAAACCAAGCTGAGGAAAGAGTAAGGTAGAACATTGTTTGGGTTTTTAAAAAAATGTTACTACCAATAATATACAGTGAGCACAATTCATCAGAACCAGCCACTACAAAAGCTAGACTGAGAACTGAACTCAAGCAAAGATTTACAAAGTTTACAGAGTGCTACAAACTGATCTCCTGACATAGCTGAGATTCTTTGGTTCTGGGTATTTCCTGTTAATGGGGGCCCGATGAATTCCCATCAACTAGACAGGGGCTTTTGGATTCTCCAATACTTTGACAAATAAAGACACATGCCAATCAATGTTCCCTCTAAGCTGTGGACTCTTGTGAGCAAAAATTCTACTTTGTGAGCTACTGGCATTAAAGTTGTAAGCAAGAGATTTGGCTGCTGGATAAACTAGTTTGCTCTAGAGCCATCCTTCCTGAGCCAAGACAAAAATGTGTGAGCCAGAGGCTCAAAAACTGTGAGCTAGCTCACACTAACTCAGCTTAGAGGGAACACTGATGCCAATGCTAGGATGGTGATCTATAGCCAGTGCAAAAACATCTAAGAACTCTATTTTTGAACTGCCACACTCAATTAGTTGCCCTCCCACCAACTGGCCCTCTAAGAACAAAACTGAGATGGAACACATAAACAGAAAGAAGAAATGGATAACAATTTATGTGAAAAGCCAGTTTAAGGCAGTCCTCCCCCCCATAAACAAAAAAAGGCTGCGGTCACACACTCTAAGGCCGAGTTCAGACTGGCAGTTTGCCCCGATATACACACGTTTCAGAAACGTTCCATAACTGGATTAAATGGGCCGTTCACACAGGCACATCTGTCCGGCGTTCCACACCCGTATTCAACCCATCTTGTAACGCTTCGCTCCTGAGTTTAAAAGATACCTGGTGAAAGTGGGAGCAAACCCTGGAAAGCGCGATTATCCCGCACCAACAAAGTGTGAACGCCAAAAGCCGCATTTTTCTTGTGCGCTCATGCGCTCCGGCACATATCTCCAGATTACAAAAAAAGAAAGCTGCGCCTCACAGCCATGCCTCCGGGCCAACAGTGTGAACACTCCCTTGCGCCTCCTCCCGGTATGCTCCCGCATCAGTCGCTGCAGTGTGAAAGGGAAAACCTGGAACAGTTTGTTCCGGCTCTTTTTTGCCACGACTCCCTCCCGCTTCAAACTGCCAGTCTGAACTCAGCCGAAATAATCCACTTTCAATGTACTTTCCAACTGTATTTTGCCAGTTCACACAGTAAAAATCCAGTTGGAAAGTGCACTGAAAGTGGAATGAAAGTGGATTATTTAGTGTGTGTGACAGCAGCCCAAATCAGCACAGCTTAGACGTGTAAATTAATATGGCACCAGTGTTTCCTCAGTGAGACATGAGTTGTATCCAATCAGTTTCTCCCCCCCCCCCAATTCCTCTTCTGACTACAGCCTCTGTCCCAGATGGCCAGTCTTTTTTCATGGTCCCTCCTCTGTCACCAGCTGAAGAGCTGGTTGGACTCAACCCTATGTTTTTAGTTAAGTGTGAAATCGTAATGAAACGTGAAGGGCACAGGCAATACTAGTGCACATTTTTTGCAAGCAAAGTGAATACAGCAGCTTTGTTTGCATACAAAGCGGATTTGTTCATGCCCCAGGCCATTAAAGGCTATGCTGCCTAGTTTATTTGCACCTCTATAACTTGAGGCCAGTTACTGAGGTGTTGAAAGGTCACTAAAGTCTAAAGGACATAACAATACCTGTTTTAGGATTCTGTATTACCTTATCATACATCAAACTAGCTACATTAAAGAACCAAGAGTTTAACCAAGAGTCCCTGACAATATTTCAACCCCCATGTGGCACCAAGGCAAACAGGGTCAGCACAGTTGGCAGAATCTATATGAGGAAAGTTATGAGAGCTATTCTGGTCCCACTTAAATCAGATTGCCATTTCTGGATTCCATTCGAATCCAGCCATTCAGGGTCTGTCTCATGCCAGGCAAAAAAGTCTTCTATCATAGAGATAATGGGAACAGGGTGACTTCCTGCATTTATCACGGTTGTGTCATCCAAGTGGCACCTTTAATTTTGATACTAGACATTCAGGGTTAGACGTCAATTTAATATGCTATTGTCTCTATGGCAAAACGTCACTCAAATGTCATCATCCTCATTACTTCCTGCACTTCTAGTTGTATGCTGACACATCACAGCAGAAGTGTAGATGCTGTGTGAATAGGTTTACTAAAAAGTACATTCCGTGCAATATGCTCTTTGTAGACCCATCCATAGCAAGCCTCAGGGACAGATGTGTTGTAAAATATATGATAGAATGCATTGTAAGATGGGTATTCATATATCAGCCTTGGGTTAGATCCTGTGGATCCAGCCCACTAGCAGGGGCGCTTTCCTTTGGTGTAAGGAGCCTTCCCACAAGAGGCTTCATACATCAGAAGGAAGGCTACTGGTGCCAAAGGAAAGCGCCCCTGCTTTCTAGCAAAACAGATCCATGGGATCCATCCTTTAATGTTTCCTGCTACATATAAGCAAAGACACAAAAGGTTTATCAAACAGGAGAAGTTGTGCATTTATACCTACAGACCAAATTAATTGGCAGATGTTCATAAATGCTCCATGTGCTTTGTGCAAGCCAACTTCACATTAGTAACTCATTCTTTATTACCTGTATCCAGTTATGACTTCATGAAGGTTAGTCATTCTCACCACTCCTAGGAAACAATGGAGAAGCACAGCAATTGTACGAGAAATGGAAACGTTTCAATACAGTACAGCTGTCCAGATTTATAAGCAAGATGGCTAAGGAATTGTATACAAACCAGAAAGTGAGGCTATTTCTATAACAAATCATTTTCAACGAAGGAAAGCCAGAACCAATAGTCCTTTTTATACAGTAAAATGGCAATTTACGGTTCCATTCAACACAGCAGCAAGTCCCCCTTGCTGCACACCTATGGTGTACTATGAATACTAGAACTACTCAGCTGGAATGAAGGACAATAAAACTTTATATAGAAAAAGGGAATTTTCACACACCTAAATAGTCATCTATCTGGTCATCTGCAGTAAATGAGAATCACTCCCAGCAATCAAGCACAGGTGCCGGTTTGTTTCCTTTGAAGCCACAACATGACTAGTACAGCCACGTGTGAGCCAGAAAGCAAGTTGCAAAATTGTTTTGCAGAAAGGATGTATGCTGAAGCTCTCAGGGAACAATCCTGAGCAGGCATCAAAAGAAAGTCCTGCTGTATTCATTAGGGCTCATTCCCAGGAAGGTGCTTTTTCAAAGTAGGACTGCAGCTGCCCGTGGCTGGGAATATAGGACTAAAGCACCGGGATAGCATAGGGGGGAGGGGAAAAACTACTATGTAAACGCATGGTTAAAAGATAATATGTAAAATTTGTGTAAAACAATTAAAAAAATAAATATTTAAAAAATATATATTTAGGACTGCAGCTGCCATCAGATTGATTTCTGTACTTATTACATTTTCATCCTGGCCCGGAGATTTCCTGGAGAAAATGGCTGCTTTGGGGGCTGCAGTCTACGGCATTATACTGTCCAAAGTTCCCTCCCCTCCCTAAACTGTGCCATCCCCAAGATCCACCCCAAATCTCCAGGGATCTCCTAACCCGGAATTGGCAATTCTATGGCAAACTATTCATAGAACAGAATTTATGGAATAGAAGACGATAGAAGGGTAGTAGTGCAGGAGTAAACTGCAAAGGAGGAGATACAAGTTTTGGCTTGAAGGGAAGGAAGAAAATAGAAAATTAGATGATGAGAAAGAGACACATGGAGGAGTAATGGCAAGCCATTTACAGTGCAATGCTGAGCACTCTAATGCTATTGGAGTCAAAGGGATTAGAAGGATATAACTCTGTTTAGGACTGCACAATTAGTGTTAGATTTTATCTGTATTTCATTTTCATCTCTTTTCTTAGCTGTAAAAAGTTTATAACCTCATCTGTTGGGCCAATACTTGCTCCCACTTTTAATCTGTGTTTTAATCTTTGTTGTCTTCTGTTTTAAATCTTGGTGTGGCTAAGCACAATTCAGTTTACACACACACACACACACCTTTTTATATAAAACACCATTCACCTAAAGAAGAATGTCACCAAAGTAGATGGTCACCACATGTGACTGAAAACACCCATACTACTGATTATTTTGCAGGATTAAAAAATCCACAGAAACATATTGCTTTTTTGGCAATATAAATCCCTGCAATCCCAAGACCAGGCCCTTTAACCTGGCTGTGAACTAACCCCTTCTTGAATTTACATCACTGCTAAAAAATAAGCTTGAAATGGGGTGTCTAAATATCTTTTACATTTTTTGCTGCCAAAGGCAAAAGTGAGAACAAGATAGATTATCTGAGGGGAGAAGAGAGACTTCAGTGTTGACTAGTTTATCCCACATTCTGTTCCAATTCCTGACATCTAAAAATCATACTACTTTCCAGCAGTGACCCTGAGCATGTGCAAAGTGCCTCCCCCCCCCCCGTCACCTCTCCCCCATGCACACACATCTCCATTATACATACCTGAAGATCTTCTCTGGTCAGGAAAGGTAAAACTTTCAAGTAGGCCTGAAGCTTTTGATTGTTGCTGGGGGAGGGGCTCACTCTATAGTCTGTACCTTTAAATCAGACAATGGGCCTGGCACAGTCAGACAATGTTAAGGCAAAACTGGCTTGAGCTAGTTATAAAATGTATGGCTGGATCTGGAGGTTGCTGTCCAATCGGAAAGAGCCGTTCAGAGTCACATGTCTCATCTACAAGCAATGTCCTGGGCTCTGCCAGGCTGTTGCGAAATTCCTGGACTGAGGAGAAATCTACCTCAGTGTATGGACATTTTGTTAGAAAGGGGAGGAGTATCATTCCTTTTTAGAAAGAGAGAGCAATGTTTCTTAGGACATGGCAAGCAGTCAGCAATCCAGCTTTGCCAGTTTCAAGATGGCTGGATTGATTCCCTGTACCTGAATGTATGCAGTGACTCCAAAATGAATTCTGAGGGGAAACGACACTTGATTTACATTATACATCTCTCTTTCAAAACATATACACAGGTTGCCAGCCTCTAAGTGGGACCTGAAGATCTCCCAGAATTACTACTCATTGTCAAACTACAGAGATCAGCACCCCTGGATAAAATAGCTGCTTCTCGCCATTATGCCCCTCCAAATTCTGCCTTTCCTATGCACTACCCACCAAATCCCCAAACAGGAGTCAGCAATCCTATCTCACACAAACTGAGGAATACTCAAGCAGGCATGCTTAATTGGTGGCCTGTGGTTTCTTTGTGCTGATCCTGTTTTTCAGTATGGAAAAAAAAGAATGATTGATAAGTTTACCATGCGTCTGGAAGGAAGTTTTGTTCCAGAAAAAGAAGATTCTTATGAATGTGGAGAGAAACTGGATGAAGCAAAAAAGTCTACAAACAGTATAATTTAGGCAGTGAAACTGAAGCATCAGAACTGTAGGTATAGATTTATTTATTTATTATTTATTTCATTCCATTTATATCCCACCCTCCCCACACACAGGCTCAGGGCGGCTTACAAGGCACAAGTGCAATAAAAATAAATAGATTAAAACAACTAAGCTAAAACATTCACAGCTCACTGGATACATGAAAGGCTAAAATTACATATTCTCCATTGGATATCAGGAGGGGGTCTGAGGTCAGAAGAGGGACGCCATGAGCCACGATGTTCCACTTCATCAGCCCAACCCGGCGGTCCTGCTCCACAATTATGCGGTGGTGGTAGTGGCGGCGGCGGCTCCTACTCGAAAGCCTGGCGGAAGAGCTCCGTCTTGCAGGCTCTGCGGAACTGTAAAAGGTCCCGCAGAGCCCTGATCTCCTCCGGGAGCTCATTCCACCAGGTAGGAGCCGCCACCGAAAAGGACCTGGCCCTCGTGGTAGCTAGCCTGGCCTCTTTAGGGCCCGGGGTCACCAGATGGAATTGTGACCCTGACCGAAGTGCTCTTTGGGGCCTATATGGGGAAAGACGGTCCCTCAGGTATGCCGTCAAGATTCAACGAGTCAAGGTGTATGTTAAAGGACCCCTGTTCCCCTTACTGGCATGGCCTGTAATTGCCCCCCGTTTCTCTTACTGCAAGGTTTTTTAAAATTTATAAAGCCACCCTTGCCTTCAAGCCTTGCATCAATATATAGACTTGTGGGATCATCCAGTCTACTGGCCACCCAGCTCTGCCCTTCCCTCCCAGACATTTCAAATCACTTTGTAACATGTTCCCACAAGAAGGTGACTTGCAGAAAGATACAGCACAAACTGTTCAAGAGAAAGCCACAGCCACACACTCATGAACACGCAAAACTGCCATATACAAGCCCTCTTCACAATCTACAGTGAACACATGGACAATCCGTATACATTATACACTTGATTGACCTTTGTATGTGTATTGAGTAATTCCTGTGTTGCATTCAACACACATACAGCTGAACATGTGATTGAAACCCCACATTTATCCATTTACTGATCCCCAGTTTCATTTGTAAAGCAAATAGGCGGTGGCTTTTTCTTACAAGCAGGTATGTGCACATATATGCAGGTTGTATGTGTGTTCGCTGTAACATGTGAACACAGCTCCTGAGTCAGACCACTGTTCTACCAAGGTTAGTATTGTCTACTCTGATTAGCAGTTGAATCTGGGATGCCAAGCATGCCAAGCAGATATTCTACCACTGACCCATGGCCCTTTCCCTAAGGCATATGCACCCTACAGCACAGCAGAGCTCTCAACAATCAGAAAGTAAGTAGAACAATACCAAACTGAAGTTGTCCTTAACGAGATATTACCCCTATACGAAGGAGGAGGAGGAGATTAGATTTATACCTCGCCCTCCACTTTGAGTCTCATAGTGTTACAATCCCTTCCTCTCTCCACAACAGACACTCTGTGAGGGAGGTGGGGCTGAAAGAGCTCTGAGAGAACTGCTCTTGAGAGAACAGCTCTGAGAGAACTTGTGACTGAACCAAGGTCACCTGGCTGGCTTCATGTGGAGGAGTGGGGAAACAAACCCGGTTCTCCAGATTACAGTCCACCATTCTTAACCACTACACCAAACTGGCTTTTACAAACCCTGATCCAAACCTGCACAACTTTCTTTTACCAAACTAAGAATAGATTGACAGAAATACTGTGACATGCCAGGTGCTCTGGTCCCCAGCCTCACCCTTTCAGGCTGCAAAAAAGCCAGGAGGTTCATCAAACCTCCAACTAGCCACTATGCATGGCTGTTAATCTGTGTTTTGCTTAATAGGTTACTTATATAAGCAAGCTTTATAGAAGTTCTAATATTTCCAAACACAGTTGATGAACATATCAAATGACCAACACAAGACTATATGTGTTTTGGCCACAGGCAACTTCCTTAGTGGTCAATAATACACACTTTTACAAAAAGACAAACCACTCATCCATAAACTGCTATATATCAATTCTGACCAGATTCTGTTATGTAGAGATAGAAATGGAAAAAAGAGAAAAAATCAATTTTTTACAATAATTAACATTAGTATACTGTACTAATTTTTTAAAAAAGCACAAAAATACAGAAAAATTTCTACCTCATATATTGTGCACTATGGTGTAAGTTTCAGGCCATGGATTTCTTCACATGGTAACTGCACTCACACAAAGCTCTTCATTGATGTTATAATCTATAAAGCAAAAATTATATATGAGCTAAATATTATATAAATGAACAATTAAACCTAAGAGCATTCAAACCTGCAAACAACCCAGGTGTAAAAGTGTGTATTATTGACCACTGAGGACGAAACGCTTATGGTTGGTCGAAGAAGAAGAGATTGGATTTATACCCCGCCCTTCACTCAGAGTCTCAGAGCGGCTTACAAACTCCTTTCCCTTCCCCTCCCCACAACAGACACCCTGTGAGGTAGGTGGGGCTGAGAGAGCTCTTTCCAGAACTGCCCTGTCAAGGACAGCTCTTGTCAGAACTATGGCTTGCCCTAGGTCATCCGACAGGTAAAAGTGGAAGAGTGGGGAATCAAACCCGGTTCTCTCAGATTAGAGTCTGTGCACTTAACCACTACACCAAACTGAATCATCAAGTGTGTTTGGGCAGTATTACAGCTTATATAAAGCTTGCTCTTATTCTTACTGCAGCCTGATATTCGGGCCCTATGTTTTTAATTTTATTATTGTGTACACCATATAATAAATACTTATTTTGATTATATTTTATCTGTTGTAGCCTGACCCTAGTAGCATCTTCAGTACACTTTGGGTTGAGTTTTATTTTTCCCCTTTTTTGTCTTTGTTTGATAAAATGGAATGCCCTAGACATAACATTTGTAGTGATATAATTTATAATTTAGAGGCATTCCCTTATATTATGGAACTGGTAACTTGTGGACTTGTCCTCACAAGATCTCAGATCCAGAACATGGCATAAACACGGTTGTACAAGATAGATTAGTTGCTTTTCACATTAAAGTTGATTACCAGAACAAGAAATGGCTTAAAACCTGATTTTTGAACCCATAAATATTGTACCATTCCAGTCTTCTTGGATGAATGTGCTTGCAACAGACAAATAAGCACATAAATAAACAAGCAGATAAATAAGTCATCTTTGCTCCAGGACATTGGTTTCATCATCACAATATTAAATTGCAACAAGTTACTTAGATCAATTGGTACAACTAGCGATCCAAACTGAATGTTTCCCAGAGAAATGCCCTACATGTCTCCTTATGACACAAATTCTTCTAATATTCACAACTGATGAAAGTAGTATGGAGCATATCTTTGTTATCATTGTTGTACACACAGTTTATGAATCACTTTATACTCTGCCACTGACTAACAGGTTTGACTTGGTGGGTGCACTTAGCACTTCCATGGTGCATATGTTAAGTGCCATTTATGAGTCTAACATCATGAATATATTCAGGTATTAACTTTGGTTCAGTTGTGACTGTTGTTTGGGAGGGTAAAATGCTGAAAGAACAAAATGTTAACTTGCCATCTTTGCTGAGGCTTTCGGCCTTGACAGCCCAGCCTAACTGCGCATGTCTGCCTAGCTGAATAAAGAACAATACTACCCTGTACCTATAGGGATACTTTTAGAGCTACATAGCCTAAGAAGGAAAAAGTGCTCATTGTTTAACTAAAGAGAAAAAACTTTTCTTGGGAAAGCCTAGCCCAAAAGCTTTTCTGCCAGTCAGAGATCTGTAAGGTCAAAGTGCTGATGTTTGATGGAACCAATGATCTTGTTTTATTTGTGTGTGTCATCTTGGGTATAAAATCCTATGTCACCCATTGTAACACTCGAAGAGTCTATTGGGTATTCAAGGTTCCAAAACCTTGAGATCTGTACTCTTCCTTTATTAATTAATAAATATTCTAGTGAATTCCTCTCTATAGGACTGTGTCGTGTGTTTCTCAAATTGGGTTGGGAAACACAACCAGAGGCACCCTTTGTGTCTTACACCATGGAAGCCAAGAAAACCACTAGTATCAGAACAATCTCAAATATATCAAATCAGCCACTGACAGGCTTTCTTCTGCAATAACCAAGACACAGCTTGCCTAAGCAGCCTTTATATTTGACACTGTTACTGATGGGTGCAGCCCAGGGCCTCCACCTACATGAGTTTTGTTCATTACTAATATTGCGTGGAGAAGAGAGATACTAACATTTCCAGAGCAGCAATAGAATCTATATTAACAGTTCACAGAACATCAGCCAGTATTCCTTTACAGATAAATCTGTGATCTGCATGTTAGATAAACTGACAAACAAAAGCACATTGTAAAAATTATATCAAACACAATATGTCTGCCTGCCTGTCTTTTTGTTTTTTTTTGTTTTGTTTTTAAAAATTTTAAAGTTAGCTTTGTTGACAAGATTGTCCCATGTATATTCAAAATCCAAAATTCTTTTAATTACAGTAAAAGCTGCTTCCCACTCCAAGAACTTAGGGCTGTAGTCTCAGAGAAAATGTAAACATTACAAAGTCTACAAAAAGCACTGTGTAAGCCTGGCATAAAGACAGATGTTTCAAGTGTGCACTAGCACATTTATGTGCAAATTAATGTGTAAGGTGTTTGCACATGAGCAAAGAGGCTTTTCAATGTTATAGCATCCAAATGGAGTGCCTATACAAATCCCATGCCTTTTGGCAACTTCTGCATGGTAGTCATCATATCTGCAAGCAGGGGTCATATCCTGCCGGAGCGCACAGGAGCGGAGCTCCGGCAGTAAAGAGCCCAAGGGGCGGGCACATACAACAAGCCCCACCCCCTGCTCCCAGCAGCCCTCAGTCAGAGCAAGAAGCAGCCAGGTAAGTTGCAGAGCCCCCCCCCCCAGCCCCCCAGTCCAAAAAAGTCCTGTGGCACCTTTAAAACCAAGTTTTATTCAGGTACAAGCTCTCCCTACTCTTCTAGGGCAGATCTGCACGTCCCCCCCCCAAAAAAGCTAGCAATCCAAAACAGTCCAGTGGAGCCTGAGCGGTGGGTGTTGCCTTCTGACACTTCCAGTGATGTCAGGGGGTGTGGCATATGCAAATAAGTTATGCTAATGAGGTATGCTAATGAGCTCCTGCACCTCTTTTTCTACAAAATGACCCCTGTCTGCAAGCACACCAGGAAGTCAGAGTAGCATTCGTCCATTTGTGTTTTTTAAATGGCACATGGAGAGACCTCTATTTATCCCTTGGGATACTCATATACTCTAACTGGACTGTGAGCAAATTCAACGTCCGCTTGCTTCTTTGCTAATTTGCTTCCTAACCCCTTCCACACTTTTTCCTAATCCTGCTTCTCTTATTTCCTCCTTCATTTCATTCACTTTCCTTACTTTTCTACCCTTTGCCTTTTCTGTCTTTCACGTTCTTTCCCTCTCCTTTCTCAGTGCCTCTTTCTCTCTTAAGTGTCTAGATTTGACCTCTGTCCTTAATCCCTAGCACCATGCTGGTTCTCAGACAGCTCTGAGGTGTGCTACAGATGATGGGAGGGACAGAAAGATAGTGTTAGTTATAGAGAAGAGCCAAATTCCAGCCACTTCCTGCAAATTCCAGGTAGTAATCACAGTTTAAAATTTAATGGATTCCTAAGCTCACGGTTTATCTATGTTTGTGCACTGGGGTTGTGTTATTTGCCCGAAACTACTTTGTCAAAACTTCACTACCAGAAGAAAGGAAGGGTGAAAGAACTGCTCTCCCTATCAAGGGAATGGAAACATAAGAGTCTCAAAATATGAGGAAAGGAAGAGAATGGCAAGATTTATACTCCATCACTCTCAGCCCCCAGCCACCCACCCACCCACCATATCTTCCTAGCACTTTCCATAACTAGAATACCTTCACATAAGGGCACCCACTAACATTTATTTCAGCTGACTAAGTACTGGAAACTCAAGCTGAATGTTTTCTTGCTCCCTTCAAAAACTGAAAACTTCAATTTTTCTCTCTGAATGTTTCATTTAATTGAAATGGCAACATATGTATACATTCCCCCCATGTAAGCTCAAAAGACATAGATTCTCCCTACCCCTGTACTAACAATTGAGTGTGTGTGTCAGAGAGGGGGAGAGAGAGAGGTTTTTTCCCTTCAGAACAGCTGATGGTTGCCTCAGAAGGGAAGACTGTCTGCTGCTCAGTGAGTGGGAAGATAGGAGCTGAAATACCTCAACTATTGATTAAACATCATATTTAGTCTCTAGCCCTTTTCACTTTAAACAGTGATGGCCATTTTGTGTGAATAGCTTTAAAAAGTTCAAATGTGGGCCCTCAAAAGATATGGGTAGCTAATTATGTGTGCTGAAGCTTGAAAATATGCATGTTGCCCTATTTATACAAAATGGCAACCACGTGCATCAGGAAGATAATGTGTAGTGCATTCTCCCGTTATGTGCCATTTGAGTGCCAAAGCTGTGTCAACTGAAAAAGGCTTCTGAGCAGCAGCACATACTGTGGATAAGCATTACATTAAACCAAAGATCATAATCTTTTTGTCTTCCAGTGGGTCTAGCTTATTGTCACCTTCACTATGTAAAAGACATGTGTACATACCAAAAATCCAAACGAGATTCAGTCATCGGACTTACCCCTCTCCATATTTCAGGTATTTTAAAGCATGTGTTCCTTTCTGTTATTAAAAATGCAATCTGTAATTAAACATTAATTACCAGTTAATTAAGAGTTGCAAAATTGCTCCAGTGATATAGGGGGTGGGAAGACTGTTGTCATGTTTTTTTTTTACTAGATGGGCAAAAAAATTACTGGAGAATCATTTAGTGGTTCAATTTTATAAATGACACCAGTTCCAGTATTTTAGGAAGCAATTTGATGCAAATCTACTCAGAAGCAAAGTTCCATTTTATTTTACTCCTGGAAATGACTAAGGATTGCAGCCTTAGTACCCAGAATTTGTTGGCATTAGAAAAATATAATTCGAATAAGAATAGCTGTTTTACTAGGGTTACCAGATGTCCTCTTTTTTAAAGGACATTTCTTTTTTTGTGTGTCCATCCTCTTTTGGGCTAATGAAAATGTCTTCTTTGGGGGCTGGAAGGTTAGGAATATTCCTAGTTAGTAACAATTGTCACAGCTTAAATAGTAGAGGTATTTAAAATGAGATTTGTAATAGTGACCACTTGTTTGAAGCAGGGTTGCCAGGTCCCGTCGTTACTTCAGCAGGGGGATTTGGGGGGGGGGGTGTTCCAAGGATGGGCAGAGATGTTGCCTGACATCCCTGACACAATGATATCACCCAAAAGTTATGTCGGGGACATTGCATGGGGACGCTATGGTATTTGAGTGAAACTCTATGGTTTTTTCGCCCTCAAAACCATAGAGTTTGCCCAAATACTAGAGCATCCCCTGCGATGGCCCCAACATGATGGCGTCACTTCTGGGTGACATCATTGCATCGGGGATGTTGAACAGCGACGTCCCTGTTTAGGAGCAGGGCTTCCCCTGCCCACTAGTTGGTCCGTGGGGGAGCCGAGCCCCCGAAACTGGGGGATCCCCCGCCTGGACCTGGGGGCTGGCAAGCCTAGTAGTCAGTCAGGAAATATGTCCTCTTTTTTTGCTTTTTAAAATATGGTAACCCTTATTTTACTCTCAGAAAAGTTTACCTGCTCAGATTGAAAGCATTCCATAAAGGTCATTCTGAAGTTATTTATTTTGTTTAAAACATTTATTGGCCACCTGTTTTTCGTACGGAACTCAAGATGGCTTACAAACATAGATTAAACATATCAAATGAAATGGATTAAAAGCATAAAACCAAAATTTAAAATCACTACTCAGGTCTCCTACTAAACTTAAGCAAATGTTACTCCTTAACAGCCTTGCCATGTTGACTGTGACAGTTCTTAAAAGGGAAATATTTATGTAGGAAACAGGATATGGGCTGAAGGGGTTCTTGAAAAGCGCAGGTTGAGACAGGGGGTGGGCGGATTAAATGGGTCAATTTTGTCACACTGCTACTTTGGGAGTGGGGTTGCCAACTCTGGGTTGGAAAATACCTGGAGATTTAGTGGGTGGAACCAGGGGGACGGTGGGATTTGAAAAGGGAAGGAACCTGATTGGTATATAATGACATAGAGTCCACCATCCAAAGCAGCCATTTTCTCCAGGGGAACTGACCTCTGTTGTCTGGACATTGGTTGTAATTCTGGGAGATCTCCAACCCTATTTGGGAGGCACCCACTCAAAAAACAGAAGTTTTTCTATTTGGAAAAAGTTGTCATTCTTTAAAAAGAAAAGTTCAATATCCAAGTTTTTTAAAGCCTTTTAAAAACCATTTTTTGGTATTTGCGTGTGCATGCCTGGGAGTCATGGCTGACCTCTGGTGACCCCTCGTGAGGCCTGGAGGCAAGGGACGTTCAGAGGGGTGGCTTGCTATTGCCTGCCTCGGCATCATGGCCCTGGTATTCTTTGGAGGATTCCCATCCAAGTACTTGACGGGGTCAGCCCTGCTTAACCTCCAAGGTCTGATGAGATCATAATTGCCTGGGCTATCCAGGTCAGGGCTTTTAAAATCACTTTTTGAGGGGCAAACCAGTACTTCCAATAAAGCAGTTCACCCACGGGCCCCATCTTGGCTACGGTCTGATGGAGTATGTTATAAGTGCCAGGATATCAGTGCAGTGCGCAGCTGGCTTCTGCTACAGAGCCACAGAACCAATTTCCCCTGAGCTCAGTCCTGGAGAACAAAATGGCTCATTTTGAACAGAATGTGGTGAATGTGCTCCCACAATAGCCACATAATTCAAACAGCATATGTGCCGCCAAACCTCTGGTACACATTTTGTTTCTTAGACTTGGTTCCCTAGTTCTAGAATGTAGATGTCTGATCAACATAAGCCTGCATAAAGCTCCCCATATAGACCTTATAACCTAGAGTCTCCTCTCCATCCTTTTCTGCTCAGACAGCATTAAATACCAGAGTATTCTTTTGAGCCCCGTAGCACCTTTAAGACCAACAAAGTTTTATTCAAGATATAAGGTTTTGTGTGCATGCACACTTCTTCAGATATACTCATATGTATCTCAAGAAGTCTGCATGCACACAAAACCTTATACCTTGAATAAAACTTTGTTGGTCTTAAAGGTGCCACTGGATTCACACTGTGTTCTGCTTCTCCTGGCCAACACAGTTACCCACCTGGATCTATCTCCAGAGCCTTCCTGTAAAGCAGGTCTCCCAAACTCTCAGTGAGAGTTAAGAAAATCCCATCTGACCCATATAAATCTTGGCTTCCGCCTGTGGGCTGCTGCCTCTAAATCTATTTTCACACATATCACTGCCAATGTTCCCTCTAAGCTGAGTTAGTGTGAGCTAGCTCACGGTTTTTGAGCCTCCGGCTCACACATTTTTGTCTTAGCTCAGGAAGGAGGGCTCCAGAGCAAACCAATTTATGCACTAGCCAAATCACCTGCTCACAACTTTAATGCCAGTAGCTCACAAAGTGGAAATTTTGCTCACCCACTCCATAGCTTAGAGGGAACATTGATCACTGCCCAATTAAAGACAGAACACTGAACTAAGCAGAAATACAAAACCAGACAGAAGGGGGAACCAATACCATCAAAACTGCAAATACATTCTTTCTCCGTTTGTTTAACAGATATTAATTAGAGACTGACAAATTTCTCCAGACAGCCAGAAATGTTCCTCATTCTATTCTAAACAATTTCTCTCGAGGGAGAAAAATGCATGATGCTGCATGCATATTTCTTCTTAGAAACAAAAGAAAGAGAGAGATCCCATATCTTTCTTTTTTTTGGGGGGGGAGGAATCTTCACATTTCCAAATGTAAGGGAAAATATTTCCCAAAATCTTTTTCAAGAAGTAAAAATTAAAATCTCTTACCTCTTGATAAATCTGGATAAGGGAGTCCTTTAGATGCTCTTCACTGCTGGGCTGCTCAATTAAAACTGATGAAAGAGATTCACCAAGCTTATTTTACAAGCTTACTGTTGTAGCCGTCTCACACACCTACCTACCCGCCCATTTAAATCCTATCTAAATGACAGCTTTACATTAATGAACTTCCAACACAGAGCATTATCAGTCATATGTGCCCTCTCTCTCTCTCTCTCTCTCTCTCTCTCTCTCTCTCTCTCTCTCTCTCTCTCTCTCTCCATATTGCTTGTGAAACTATGACTGTAATCCCACATAAAGCTATTTGGCAATAAACCCCACTGAGCAAAGTGGGACTTATTCGATTCAGGTGTACATAGGATTAAAGTAATAGTTTCAGAGTTAAAAAAGGCTCTGATCCTATATATTCTTTCATGAAAGTAAATTCCACTAGAATAAATGGAATTACTTCCAAATAAGTGTGCTAAGGTTCAGGATGTGTCTGTTCCATTGTAAAAGACACATACAAGAAATCTGGCATTTTATTAATTTCTAATGAAATGTACATTAAAATCCCTATTTTCTTGCTATAGCTTATCTTCTGACTTTTATTATGGGTCGCCACCTTTTTTAAAGATCCCGCTTCAACAGCAGAAATTAAACATTTTAAAGTTAATTTTTTTTCCTAACAGAGAGGAGAAAGACTAACTTAAACAACAACAAGCTGCCTCCAGTACTTTTTTCATTGCTATCCAAGATGGCGGTGCGCATAGACGCAGCGGCTTTGTGCTCTCTCTTTCGGTGTTTTGTATGGCTGTTTTTGTTTGAGTTACTACTTGTTTGTGTTACACTCTGCTGGGCAAATAATATCTACAGCTGGCAGGAGCTTCTAATGATGGGAATGCGGAGTGAAAAAGCAGTTACAGCTGACTCTCTCCACTCCTACGATATCCCGGTGGAGATATCTAGGACGCCGGGCTCCACGTGGATTACCACCCCCACGAGGAGGAGGAGAAGGAGGTGGCGCAGGGATAGAAGGCGAAGGCGAGGCTGTCGGGCTGGTGTGTTGGTAAAGCTACGAAGGAGCCAAAACAAGCTACCACTTCCTAGCATTTTTCTTGCGAATGTATGTTCACTTAGTAATGAATTGGATGAACTAAAACTTCAAGTGACAATGAATAAGCTTGTTGGGGACTGTTGTGTCTTGGTTTTTTACTGAGACCTGGCTTCATTCTTCCATACCGGATGCGGCTATTGAATTGGTGGGTCGCACCATACATCGTTGTGACAGGAGCGGGGACTCTGGCAAGAGCAAAGGAGGGGTACTCTGCATATATGTAAACAACAACTGGTGCAAGGACTCAAAGATTGTTGCCAGTCACTGCTCCCTGGATGTAGAGTATGTGACTGTTAAATGTAGACCTGTCTACCTTCCGAGAGAGTTTACTGTTGTTATGGCAACTGCCGTTTACATAACACCAGATGCTAATGCAAAATCGGCACTGGGACACTTGTATAAAATTATAAGTAGTAACCAAGATAAATATCCTGAGGCAGTGCATATTATTGCTGGGGGTTTTAATCACGCTGAATTAAAGACTGTGCTCCCTAAGTTTTATCAGCATGTGAAATGTGCCACCCGAGGAGATAAGACCTTAGATAAGGTCTATTCTAACATAAAACATAGAGCCATGCAGTTTCCACATTTGGGCCAGTCGGACCGTATGTCCTTGTTTTTAGTACCAACATATATTACCCTCAGGTCACAAGCTCCTGTAAAAAGAAGGATGGTAAAAACTTGGCCTGAGGATGCTTCTCATCAGTTGCAAAATTGTTTTGAGAGGACAAACTGAGATATTTTTGATCATCAAGACCTGGAGGAATACACAGGGGCAGTCCTGGGCTATATTAAACACTGCATAGACAGTGTTACTGTGGATAGGTGCATACGGGTCTATCCTAATAAAAAACCCTGGATGACTAGAGAGGTACAGCGACTTTTGAAGGAGAGAAATATGGCCTTTAGGTCTGGAGATATGAACCTTTATAGCTCTGCCAGAGCCAACCTGAAAAGAGGTATTCGACAGGCTAAGCTGGGCTATAAACAGAAGATTGAGGATAATTTCTATACGAATGACATGCAGCAGGTGTGGCAGGGGATTCAGAATATAACTAACTATAAACCAACTCTTGCTG